TATATATATATATATATATAAGACTTGTTCTTCTTGTTATTGTTATTATTGTTTCTTCTTATTGTCATGGGTATTCTTGTTTCTTGTTGATATTGTTATTGTTCGTGTTCTTGTTACTCTTGTGATTCTTGTTACCTTATGTACTCTCATTTAGTTCCATCTGTTCGTTATCTTGTCTACTCCCCCTCTGTTCCATCTAACTGTTATCTTATCTCGTCTCCTTCTGTTCCACCTGTATGTTTTCTTACCTACTCCCTCTGTTCCATGCATCTGCTATCTTATGTACTCTCCCTCTGTTCCATCTAGCTCTAGCCGCATCTAGCCATCGTCACCGCCGCCAACGCCATCGCCACCATCAACATCATATCATATCATACCATGCCATACCATATCACATCATATCATATCCAAACCATCATCACCAGCTTCTTCTTCATCTTCATCGTCGCTGCGAGTGTCATTATCGTTGCTATCGCTGCTAGCTGGGTCCTCCGTTCCGACAAGGAGGTACCAACAACACCATGACTTGCCGTTCGTTTTGTTCGTGTTGATGAGCATGCAAACCAGGATAGCGATCACAACGGCATGGCAATGATAACAATTAACATCGTGATGATGTCAATGAGGGTGTTGATGATGTCGTTGTTGATTTTGACATTGCTGATCATGACAGCGGTGGTGGTGATTCGACGATTGTAATGATGATGACGATGATGATGGTGATGGTGATGATGCTTGTGATGTTGATGGCGAGTTTGCTGACGATGGGACCCCTCTACAGTGACGAACGTGGAATTTACGGCGAACTGTCGGTACTGTGGTGATGATCCAGGTAGAGATATGTTTAGCCTGGAAATGCTGTTGACAACGATAGTGCTGATAGTGATGATGATGATGATGATGATGATGATGATGATGTCGATGAAGAAGTGCAAGGTGATCCTGTTCATGACGAGCACAGCAATCCAGAATTCCGAAGCTGACGTTTCTATTGTCCCTGTGCAACTTGCGGTGGCTGTTGTCGCTTCCGATCTCACTCCGTCGTCATGGATGCGATGGTCGTGAGGCCTTTGCGGCCGTGGGTCGTAATGTCAACAAAGTGTTCGCAGTGGTAGCCCTAAGTATACCCCCCACACGCACACACATCACCTACAAGCAACAACTCAGACCCATGTAGGAAGTCGATTGACGATTGAAGTACGACAAAGACGAAAGACTGGGAAGGCCTGGAACCTCGAAGTGGTGGACAGCATAGACGCCCACTGACTGTCGACGACCATTTGAAGCAAAAGAAGTCAACCTACGTGAGCTTTGGTTTGAAAGGGCTCAAGGGACAGTGGCTTCCTTAAGATAGCAGCCGAGCACAGCCACTGGATTAGGCGCACCCAACTCGTGTTTAGTCGGCTTGGCTAGATTCGAGTAGCCCTGCCGGGGGGAAGCCGCTTTCAAGTCAGGGGTGCCAGGTCGTTCCAGACCCTGGCATGCAGCTTGCTTGGAATGAATCTGAAACAGGCCCCGAAAAAATCCAACAGTAGTAAAGCCGAGCAATCTCCGTGAAAGTTCTTCTCAGAAGAGCCGAGGCCCAAGGCCCCAAAGTCGATGCCCTCGTGCCTAATCCCACAGCCAGGTCGTCAAGGAGCACCTGCCTAAGGATGGCCTTTGCGTGGTCTTCGTCGAGACGAAACGTGGGGCTGACTCCCTGGAAATAGAGCTGCACAAGGCCTGGGACATGCGTTCTGCAGAAGAAAGTGCCTTAGTGCTTTCAGAGTTTGGCGAGAGCTGTGCTTTGGGTCTAGGTCGATGGTGCTGAAGAGATTCGCACTCTTCGGGGCTCGCCTGTCTAAAGTACTGTATTTGCACACCGCATCGTTGGTATGCCCTTTTGATTTTGGGATTTCCTGGCATAAACTGAAGATATCATGAATGGGCGCTTGCTGTTCGCCTCTGATGTCTCTGCATCCGCTCAGACTTGCTATGCTACTCTTGGCCCCTGACCCGAACCCCAAAGCTCGTGCGTCTCGAGCAGCTGTACACGCCGGGGATGTGTAACAGTACACCCTGCTCCCAAGGCCAAGCCCCAGCCACACTCGTAGGGAAGCTAGTACTAAGGCAGAACCTGTCGGCATGAACCCAGCCCCCTTCTTCTGAGCCCCACTGCCATAGCTTCAGGCGTCTGGGCTTAGCTCTTTCCGCGCCATGACCTTTGGTGTTGGTTTTCAGGGTTGCTGGTTTGGCCTGAAGTGCAGCTACTGTCAGAATGGCATCAGCGTCGCGGCAATCCACGGCGACCGAAGCCAGATACAGCGAGAGGAGGCTGTCAGATCTTGAGAAGCTTCTGTAGCCGTCTCCAGGTTCTGTTGGGGCACTGAGTGCAGCAATCCGCCGATGAGTTCTCAGAATCAGAACCCTGGACCGCACATGAACCTCGAACAGAATAAACGGAAACGGATCTGAGCAAGAGATTGATTCAAGTGGGATGGTATGACTTAAGGCCACTTCTCGCAGTCAAGCGGTTCCTGGTTTTGGTGCTGATAGATCCAATTCCTCAGCCCCCCACTGGCACTGCTGCTAATGCTGTCAAAACTGCCTCTCTACTTCTACATACTACACCTACACCTGCTCTCACAGCTGCACCTGCGCCGCCTAGCACTGCTGCTGCTACTACTACTACTACTACTACTGCTGCAGCTGCTGATCTACTACTACTACTACTGCTGCTGCTGCTGCTGCTACTACTACTACTACTCCTACTACTGCTACTACTGCTGCTACTACTACTACTACTACCACTACTACTACTCCTGCTGCTGCCACTACTACTACGGCTGCTACTACTACTACTACTAGTACTACTACTACTACTACTACTACTACTACTACT